ATGTGGTTGAAAGGTCAGAGCCATCACACAGCTCTCCAGATTGCCAGGGAAACAGACACACCCTCAGCACCCCAAGGATGAATGCACCAACTGTTCCACACAGTCTGCCTAGTGGGAGACCTCCAGGCAGCACTTTTGAATTACCAAGTCTTAAAAGAAGTCTCTTCATTCTCCTGTTTATTATTTCTTAGGCACCTACATACAAACCCAAGACCTAATGGTCTATACACACCCACTTAACCCTGCTATGTCTCATCTGCTTTCCTCTCTGGGAACTGGGACACTTCACTTCACTGGGGAGATCATCAGATCAGGCCCTGCCTTAAAAGGTCAGCAGCTCAGGCTAACAGAGCTTTGGCCAACTCTTCCTCCATATCTGCCTGCTTGCTATCTGGCTCCCTACTAAGTCTTCCAGATTCCGTGGTCTATTCTTTTAAAACACCAAAACAAAGATGAGTGGGGGCTCGGGTAAGATGCCCTTTCCAAGAAGCTCATTGACTCACCATGGGGTGACATTCTAATAGGTCCACCACAAAAGCACTGAAGGTAAGATCCATGTAACGCACCTTACCTACCATACATCATTGCTTAGCGTAGCCCATCTTAAATGTGCTTACAATACTTACATTAGAATAGTTGGATAAAATCAACATAGAGGCAATTTAATAAGAAAGCGCTGAAAATCCCATGTAATCTATTGACTATACCAAAAGTAAAAAAAAAATAGAATGGTTGTATAAGTATACTTTTGTATCATCTTAAAGTGGGACAATATTAATTAAGTCAAGTGATCTTTGGATTGTTTGTGTACTAATTAAAAGGAGGCACAAACAAGGTACCTGAATAGCAAAACCTAATGCAAGTTTCACATGCCCTGGTGAGAGGTGCTGATGCCCCATTTTAAAAGTAGTCTATGCCTCTAGAGCCAAGGCTATCTAGACAAGATGTGGCAAAACCATAATGTCTGGCTCCCAAACTAAGCATGCTAACCACAACAACTCTCAGCCGGCCACTCAAAAGCATTTTCAGAAGACAAAGGAGAACTGCATTTGAATGGATGTGTTAGGAAGAGGATGTGTTCAGGGGATCCAAATGTAGGGATAAAAGAGATTGATGACTCAAAAAATACCTACAGGTAGGCAGTTAGACTCACCCAACATAACCTAGATCAGAGACTGATATTTTTGTAAAAAGACAAGTATTTTAGGCTTTGTAGTTTCTGTCACAACTAGTAACACTAACAGATATGTCTGTATCCTAACCAGCTTTATTCCCCAAAATGGGTTGCATAGAGGATTTGACACACAAGCTATAGTTTGCTCATTCTGTATTAGACCATGGAGTCCAGTGAAATTCTTGGGTCCATGAGAAACACAATCAGACAAGAGTTAAGAATGACCGATTGTGATAGCTGGTTGATGGATCCAGTATATTTCATACCTTTTGTTTTGTTTTGTTTTGTTTTCATACCTTTTGTGAAATAAGAATAAGTGCTGGTGAGGCTGGGAAGGTGGCTCAGTGGTAGAGTGCTTGCCTTGCATGCATGAGGCCCTGAGTTCGATTCCTCAGCACCACATAAGCAAACAGAAAAAAGCCAGAAGTGGAACTGTGGCTCAAGTGGTAGAGCGCTAGCCTTGAGCTGAAGAGCTGAGGGACAGCGCCCAGGCCCAGAGTGCAGGCCCCATGACCAGACCCAAAAAAAAAAAAAAAAAAAGAATAAGTGCTGGTATTACCATGCTTCCTTGTTATTGTGTTTGTTAGAAACACAAGGGAATGGCTAGGTTTCAATAGAACTTTATTTACACAAAAAAGCAGTGGTCTAAATTTGGCTCACAGACCATATTTTGCTGAACATGGCTGCGCTAGGATCTCAAACCAAAGATTCTAATCCTCTAAAATCAGCAAGTACAATTTATCAAACACCTGCCACAGACACCAAACATCCATTTGTAACACAGGCTACAATTATACTGATATGGAGATGGTACAAGGGTTGCTGCTGATCTATTAACAAGATCCATTCAGATCAGGAACAGATCCCAGCCATACAACATCAGCAATTCATTCTTTTAAGGTAGTTATCTAAGCAGAGCATTACACATGGGCTGTTTGAGGCCAACAAAAAGAAAGCAGCTATGGAGGAAGAGTTGGCTAAAGCTCTGTTAGCCTGAGCTGCTGACCTTTTAAGGAAGGGCCTGATCTGATGATCTCCCCAGTGAAGTGAAGTGTCCCAGTTCCCAGTTATACCACAGTTATACCACAGAGCAACCTGAAATCTCCAAGTCTCATCCAATAATCAGTTGTTAGAGATGCCTGTCAATGTTTGTAGATGAAGCACATGTCATCATAATGGCTCTCCAGTTTCCCAGAACTGGCCCTGGACCACACTAATCCTCTCACTCAATCCAGTTTGCTATTTTCCAGAACTGGGAGCCAGAGAGAAGGCTAGGCTGCCAAATCTGAAATAACAAAATCCAATCATCTGCTTTAAAACATCCCAAAGATAGTGTTAAGATGGTGTTTGTTGCTGTTAACTTTTAGTACAACAGTTATCCAAGGTAGCAGAGAAAGGATACAAATATCTGCTCATGTCTGGAGATATTTTTAATTACCACAACTAGGGATATGCTATTGGCATCTTGTGTATAATTTTTATGCACAAGTAATCTCCCTAAAAAAAAGATATCTGGCTCAACATGCCAATAGTATTAGGTGAGATCTGTCTTAGTGTGATCTCCCCACAGTATGGTCCCAAATTCCTAAGACATATACATACATACTCTCCAATTACATTTCAGAAACTCAACTCCAGAGACCCCTTACTTGATTGACATGTCAAGTAGGTGTTATAAAAGAGTCCTGGCAGTGCAAGGTAGATCGTTGAAGAGGTTTGTTTGACTGGGTTTTTTTTCTGTTGCTGTTGTTTTTGAGAAAACCCATGAATAGCTTTGTGAAAATTCATCTATAAAAGGAACAGGCTAAGCTGGAGGCTGGTGGCTCATGTCTATAATCCTAGCTACTTAGGAGGCTCAGACCTGAGGATCATGGTACACAGCCAGCTTGGGCAGTTAATCTGCAATTAACTACCAAAAAACCCTAGAAGTGGAACTGTGGCTTAAGTGGTAGAGTACTAGCCTTGAGAAAAGAAAAGAAAAGAAAGATGCTTAGGGACAATGCTCAAGCCCCGAGTTCAAGACCCAGGACTAACACAATAAAAAAAAAATTAAAAATACAGATTGGAAATGTTAGAGCAGATAGAAGCCAATGGGTAATTTTAAAATATACCCAGTTAGCGGGGCACCTGTGGCTTGCACATGTAATCCTAGCTACTTAGGAAGCTGAGATCTGAGGGTCTCAGTTTGAAACTAGTCTAGACAGACAAATCCGAGAGACTCTTATTTCCAATTAGCCAGCAAAAGCCAGAGTGGAGGTGTGGTTCAAGTGGTTGAACACCAGCCTTGAGTAAAAAGAGGCAAGCAAGAATGTGAGATTCTGAGTTCAAGCCTCAGTACCAGCATAAAAAAAAATAAAAAGGAAGTGAACCTAGTTTTTCAGCATGTTCTCTCAAAAATAGAACCTTATTTTCTTAATTCATTGCATCAAAAAGGTAGTTTTATGTATATCTTGAAAGAGCACATTAAAGGCATACAGTATATCATCATTTCAAGTAATATGTGCTGAACCACACTCTTCCTCATAATTAACCATGTTCTCCTTACACACACACACACACACACACACATACACACACACACACACACACATGGATCTTTCTGAAAAGGAAAAACATGCATATATTATTGAGTGTGACATCCTATGTTTCAATGGAAGCTGAATGCGACTAAACCCACGGCTGTACTTTTTCAATAGCCATCATTTGAATTCTACATGCTGGAGAGTGTATGCCTTGACTGGGTTGCAAAGCACAAAACAACCTTCCTACATTCCCCCAACTCTAACCTTACATCTCATCCATGCTACAAGTCCCAAACACTGAGACCACTGATGCCTTGATTCAAGGATTCTGACATTGAGAATAGCAACAGATCCCTCTCTGGAGCATCAGTCCACTCTGGATACTCAGGGAACACAGGACCACAGAGATGTAATTCTCCAGGACATAATGTGATCTCAGTTTCATTTGCAAATTTTGCTTTGTCAGAATCTGCCTATACACATTTGAGTGTGTGTGTGTGTGTGTGTGTGTGTGTGTGTGTATTTTTAAAAATCCTATCCAAAAGACATACACTGAAATGTTATTTTATATACTGTCTGGAGTAGTAGACATAAGTGTGACTGTTTTTCTCCTGCTCGCTCTGCCTATCTATAGTTTCCCACTTTTTCTATATTGAGCATAACTTTTGCTAAAAGGAAAAATAAGATATACTCCACGTATTTCTTTAAATTCTATGTCATTTCAGAAAGGATTTAAGGCACTTAAAAATAGGCAGCAAGTACCAAAAAATTCTTCCAAAGTGACATCAATTAGAGACAAGGAACAAGAAATAAGAGCAGTAAGATCTGGGTAACCAAAGGTTAAAACCATTAAGGCAGCAGACAGTGGCTGGAAAGCAGCACACATTAGGCTCTAAGCTTACTGACATCTATAAAGGGGGGAAAAATAATCCCTTCCACCCCCTCAGTTCACTCCCGTTATTCCTAATTAAGTTATGTTTAATGGTAGCTAATAAGAATGTTTATCAGCATCCCCTGAACATATCCCTTTAGAGGCCAAAGATTCCAGAAATGTGAGCCAGCCAGCAGCAATCACCATCTGCACTTAACAACGCTGCCCACCCTGTCTGGGGAAAGTCTATCTGCAAGAGCTCAGAATCTCCCAAAGGGCACTGTGATACATTTCTGAGGATGTCCCTCTGTGTGCAATCATGGCTCATAAAGGCAGGATTATTGCATTCATGGCAAGTCCATGTCTGGGAGTACCCTGGCATCCATTCAAGATCAAGGTAGGCTCAATGTATGGCCCACGTTATCATGCTTACCATAAGCTGTCATGACGCCAGCATATGGCCCATCCACGACATTCCTGTTTTCTTCTGCCAGTGCCTTGATGTACCTTTTGCTGAGGTCCAGGATCTGCTCCCGCAGCACAGAGCTACTTTCGGGCTGAGTTCGCTGCTGGATGGTGAAATGCAGAAGCATCATCCCCCAAATGAAGCCAAAAGTCACCAAGAAGAAGCCCAGCTTCTGAGAGGACAACTTCCAGGGAGTAAAGAGAGCCATCGCTCTCCAGTAACTTCACTAGTTCTTGGCTCTCAACACAAAGAAGATAAAGTTAAGTTCATGATGTAGGCTGGGTCTGCGAGTCCGTGGGTCTCACTCAGGCTCCTGCATCAGGCAACTTCCTTTCTTTGCTTCCATTCTGCTGTAAAAGAGGGAAAACGTTTAGCAAAGTGGTCATGGCAAAGCACAACAAGATATTAACCAGAAGCCATGATTCACCCAGACTGCTCTACATCAAATGTCGGCTTCCTGTTCTTAATGTGTTGGTTCGGTATCTTAGGTTATGATTCAGGATCTGTAAGCAGAGGGGAAATCTGGTGAGGTGACAAAAGCTGTGCAAATGCAGAGAGGGAAGTGTGTCTGAATGTGTTAACAGGTGTAAGCGGGGCTGTTCCCATCTGGACCTCATTCAAAACAGGAAGTTTGTTTTGCAAGGTGGAGAGGAGATGGAAGGAGATTTTCACTGTACGTCAGCAAAAACCCAGGTGGAGGGTGGAGTCCTCTCACCCCTGTGCGTCTGGTCTGTAACTTGAGCTTACACAGTCCGTATGCACTTTGGGCAAGGATGAGAGCAGGCAATTGGACAGGTGAGCAAGAAAATGATGGTTTTTGAGGGATAGCTGATGAGCTAGGGGGACAGGGTTCCATTTTATTTAAGGTCAGCCAGTTTTTTATTATCTGTATTTACAGATAGAGGCCAGCAAGTGATCTCCCTGTATCAGCACAGGGGGCGTGGTCAGTGGTGTTTTCTGTTCTAGCTTTTTTTTTGCCTCACAGTTGCTAAGCACAGACTCTACCACTGAGTTCCTGCTTCTTGCCCCAGCTAGCTCGAGCTAAAGTTGTGCCTCACTGCTCTAGCACAGGAAACTTGAAGGACCTGGCTGACTGCTTTTTACTGTGGTTCTCACTTTCACTCCTACCCGGAGGCAAAGAAGAGTAAGAAGGCAAGTGCCTCCATAGTATGATGGCCAGATTCCATTTGGAACCTGCACAGACTGGTCCAATGACAAAACATCAAAGCTGCTCAGCAAGTGGGGTCTGAGCATAGGTTGCAAAGAGGCATGGGTATGTTCAGCAAGAGTCCTCCACCCAAGAACCAGTCAGCTAACAAAAGCACTCTGCCAGGAAAGGCTGAGCAAGGATCTCCTACGTGAGTGTGAGCCAGACTGTATTTCAGAGTGTGCATATTTTAGTTTAAAGTGTTCCTCCTTGCAACCAACTGAAGAAAAGAAGGCAGGAGGATCCTGAAACAATTAGCTTTCGTAGCAGAGCTATTGGTCTGCTTTCCACTGCCTTCCCCTTGCCTACCAACAGAGTAACTGGTAGTTGGTACTTCCACTAATAATAAATACTAAATAAATTCTAGCTATTTTCTGGGCATTGTGAAGATTTTTTTAATTAATTTATTTTTTTTTCGTTGGTCATGGGGCTTGAACTCTGGGCCTAGGTGCTGTACCTCAGCTCTTCAGCTTAAGGTGAGTGCTCTACCGCTTGAGCCACAACACCACTTTGGGTTTTCTGGTGTATGTTTATTATTATTTATTATTATTATTGAAGATAAAGAGTTTCAGGGATTTTCCTGCCCAGGCTGGCTTTGAACCATGATCCTCAGATCTCAGCTTCCTAAGTAGCTAGGATTACAGGTGTGAACCACCAGCACCTGGCAAGAATTTTTTCAAGAATATTTTTAAGTGGCTTGATTAAGTCCTCATAAGAAAGTTATACACTAGGAAGAAATAATATTATCATCTCCCCTTCAAGAGATACAAATGAGAGAATACAGATATAAGGAGATCACTTAGAAAAGTTACCCAGCTAGGTGACAGGGGAGGGATAATCTGAGGATGGCCCAAGGATCAATAAACCTTCTTCACCTCTACTTCCCTACTGGTCTGTTGATGTAAAGCCAAGAATGGTGGGTCCATTATTAGAGGTTTGGAAAGCAACAAAACAGAATATGTAAGAGTCTATGTATAGTTGTTGACCATAGACATGATAACTTATATTGCCACACATATCAACTGCAATTTACTAAAACATAATGTACTATACATTTGATGTAGTCTAGGAATTCAGAAAAGACGGTGAGATTGTGTGTGACAATACAGACAACCATGCCTTTGAATGGAGTAGATCCTATACAAAAGGGGGGCAGGGTTCTGGGTGCCAGTGGTTCATGCCTATAATTCTAGCCACTCAAGAGGCTGAGATCTGAAGATCATAACTTGAAGCCAGCCTAGAAAAGTCCATGAGACTCTCCAATAAACTACCCAGAAAAAGCCAGAAGTGCCTCTGCAGTGGCTCAAGTGATAGAACATTAGCCTTAAACACAAAGAGGCTTGGGATGGCACCCAGGTACTAAGCTCAAGCCCCAGGACTGGCAAAAAAGGGGGGGGGATAGTTCTATGTAGTTTCACAAAGTCTAAAATATAAATATCTAATATCTAGCTCTTAGCCAAAAAGGTTTGCTGACACTGGAATTCTAGGCTCTTGATTTTCAAAGTGTGGTCCCTTATCTCAGCAACAGCTAGAGCACCGATGAGAAAAGCAGATTTCCAAGCCTCACGGCATAACTACAGAATCAACAATTCTGGAGGTGGGCTGAGCAAATTAAGCTCCAATAACCTCTTTAGATGATTCTGACAAAGGCTCAATGTCAGAGCCCCTGTACAAGGTAGCCAGATTCCAGGGGCATGTATCCCAATGCTGTGTAATGTACTATAAGACCAAAAGTTCTGTCTTCCATTACTTTTTGAGTTCCTCTATCCCCCTGTAACCTATATTACTTGCTGGTTTGCTTATTACCATAAACCTTTCATAAACATCTTCCCATCTCCGTTCAAGCTGTTCCTTTACCTGGCTGGCCTGGTTCATGTGCCAATCCAAGTTCAGAGTATTGTCTAATCCCTACCTCCAGTTCTACCTGTATCAAACCAGGATCCTCACTGTTCTAGCCCACAGAACTCCTTTCCTGCTCTTAAGTTGTGGGGAAAAAAAAAAGTGTCTACCCTTGATTGTTTACTAGTTTATATCTCCCCACTCCTAAACAGATCTGTGTATCGGAAACTTATTCCTCAGACCATGATAAATGTTCAGGAGGCAGAACATGGTGGGAGGAGCTTAAGTAACTGGGTACATGACTTTCCTCTCTGACCTGGCTACCATGAGGTAAACCAGACTCCTCAGCCACATACTTCACTGTGATTTACTGCCTTGCCATAGGACTAAAAGCAATGGCCCAACCTATGACAGAATGACACCTCCCCAATGATGAGCTGAAATTCACCTTTCCTCTTTAGCTGATTTTCTCGGGTATTTCGTCACAGTGATACCAAAATGACTACCACAGTAAAATTCCATGTCATTGTTTAAGGGGCCCGCCAGGCACACAGACACAGATACTCCTCCCAATTACACTAGGTACCTGTGAATAAACCATCGATAAGCTGAAAATACTAAGAGGAAAATGCACTTTTTAGCCTAACCTATCTTAATCATGCTCAGAACACTTATATTAGTCTATAACTGATTTAAAAAAATCAACTGACACAAAGCCTACTTATTATAATATAGTGCTACGTAACTCATGTAATTCATTGAATAGTACATTGAAAGTGAAAAAACAATAATTGTACATGTGCTTTCTCACCACCCTAAAGTCAGTAACTTTAAGTCAAACTATTATAAATGAGGAACTGTCTTCATGAATATTTTTGGAGAAAGATACTGGTCATTAAGGCACCATAAAAATGTTACCTAAATGACATTATCATGGGAGTCACTGTGTTCTAAGGGTATCCACACTCAGGAGGCTGACAGACATCCCTCTGCTACCACTAGTTCCTCAGGAAGTAGCTATACTTCCTTTCTAACAACCATAATCATTAGTCACCCTGAAAAGAGATTGTCTGAGGGCAAGAAAATGAGGTGTTACACATAGTCTGCTGATGACTTTCTTTGAATATTTTAGGACAAGAATTACCTACCAACATTCAGGAAGGCCCTCTCCTCTTCCTTAATTACCCCACTGAAATAAACAACACTCAAGGCTGCACAGTTAAGCCACAAAGAGGTCAAAGGCAGGATCTAGACACAGTCTTTGCTAGAAGGCAGAAGGCTTCTACATCCTAGTGTTATGAAGGCCAAGACCCCACCACCCCTGCCATGCAGTGCATTGATGGGGCACACAGATGGGCAAGAAAACACCTAACTATAATTTTTCTAGCAGAGAGTATAACGCACAAATCCCTAGCTATAAGGAGTTCAGAGCACTTAAGGGCCTAGATTTTAAGGGAAGAACTGCCAGGAATGTTCTTTTCTCTGGTGGAATGTAAAGTGTGAGATAACAGACAGTCTATCAGCAGACACAAAGATTCACATTAGAATTCATGTCTGCAATTCCTATTAAGAAGACAGAATTCAAGACTTTGCAAAAGCATTATTCAAAAGCCACCCCTATCTCATAGAGTAATAGGAGGATAATGAGGAGGATATAGGACAATCATCCTTACAAAGATTCTTAGTGCCTTGAAAGAACTTAATGATGATCATCAGTAATAGACACACAATTAATAGAGAGGCCTCAGAACAACGGTGATCAAACAGTAGTCATTCAGCTCAAAATCTGTCTGCCTCCAGATTTAGCAGTTGGGTGACATAGGTAAGCAGCTATAAGAAGGATTACAATATGTATCTCAGAAGACCTTGTTGCTAGGCAGAGAAATGAAACGTCCAGGGCCATGACTTCACCAGTTCACTTCAAGGCAAGTTTGCACCGTCTGTTTCTAATATTAACCTCCATCCCCAACTTCCTTCCTTCCACTCACTCTGTAACACAGTAACATCTGGCTTCCCCTTTAACAAATGTGGTCAAAGATCTCTGTCAAAGAAATAAATCAGTTGTCCTATTTTTTTTTAGAGCACATAAAAAGATGTCCAACATCATTAATCATTAGGAGAAAGGGAAATCAAAACCACAATGAGATACCACTTTACACTCATTAGGATGGTAAAAAAAAAAAAAAGAATACAGGTAATTATTGTTGGAGAGAATGTGGAAAACTGTCACCTTCATACATTGCTTGAAATGTCTCAAACATTTAAAGAGGGAGTTACCATGTGACACAAACAATTCTGTTCCCAGGAATTCTCCCAAGAGAAGTGTAAACATACGCCCACACAAAAATTTTACATGAATTTCATAGCAGTATTCTTTATAACAAATTAAAATAACTTAAAATGCCCATCAACTACCATATGGACAAAGAAAACTGGTATGTCCATAACAGGATATTAAGTGTAATAAAGGAGATGAAGAAGTAACTATGTTACAGCATATATAACCCTGAGAACATCTTGCTAAGTTGGGGGAAAAATAT